CCAAAGTCCATTGCAGCGGCAAGTGGAAATTGGGTTCTGGTTTCTTTTACCTCTCCTACAACCGGCAGGGAGAATTTTTCATGGAGTGTTGATAATCTGTGAAAGGTCCTAGCAGCTTTTTCAGATGATTGTTTCTGAAGGGCGTTTACACATTTCTTTGGCATTTTCCAGCTGCTAATTAGCAGCATTCTCATTTCCCTTAATCACAGAGACAAGAAAGCCCACAACAGTTCTTCAGTTAGCTCATAGAAAATGTGTCTTTCTCTCCTATTGATACACACTTGGGATGCAAGCATGGCTCATGGGTGTGTTTCGGCTTCCGCCTGTCTCTGGAAGGAACCGTGGTGCTCGCACAACAGGGCTGCTGTGCAGGTTATTATGCCCACACAATGCGCCGAGGACTGCTCCGGGCTGTGATTAAGTCTGCTCACACAGCCCCCAGAACTCTTTTGTGAGAGGCCTTTATTTTGCTTTTGGCTGGCTTGCAAATTGGAGTTCTTACCTGATTTAAACTTGGGTTTTCTTTCTTCTCAATAATTCTTTACATTTCAAAATAAGTCCTCAAATGGCACCCATATAGCTATCAGAGCAGGGGAAGGGGCCTACTGTGCGCTGAGCACCTCCCACCCTTCATCAACTCACTCACTTAGCAAAGACTGAGCACCTGTTGACTCTGGCTATGTTGTAGCACTGGAGATTTAAGCCAGCCACAGGCCCTGCTCTCGGGAACTGTGGCTGTATCTCAGATTCCTCTGTCCAAGGAAGCGTAGTCTGCAGGGGTCTGTCTTACGGAAAGTGATGCCTATGGCAGTTAGTTTTAAATTGCTGAATGATCTCCCAGCTGGCGATGGAAACAGCAATGGCCAATAGAAACTGCTCGTTAGCTGCCTCCTCGTGCGGCGCCCAGGGCACGCGCCCTACCTGCCATGCCTTAGTTCCGCCTCTGGAGGTCTGTAATGGTGTAATTTCACACAAGAGGAGGCAGAGTAATGGGAAAGGCCCGCATCTCCCAGAGAGGAGGCGGTTAGTAGGAGGCAGTTGCAGGATATGAACCATGGCACACCATCCCCAGCCAGAACCCTCCTCAGTGCCTGGGACTCATGTGGGCTCAGCGTCACCCTCAACTGACCGCCATGGGCTCCTTATCAGGGCCACGGACTCCACTCTCTCCTGGCAAGGCCTGGCCACCACGCAGGCAGGCTGCAGGCCCTGGAGGCTGATGGCTCCGGTGGCATTTGGAAATCTTTGTGGGATCCTTGCTCTTCTGCAGATTGCACCTACTGAGGGACAAATCTGGAGTGTGATGGGCCCTGGGAAGTGGGACGCTGAGCTAAGTTGGGTGGGCTCTCAGGCCCGGCGGGTGCAAAGGGGTGTCACGATCTCAGTGTGCAGCGGGAGATCTGCCTGGGACCCAACTCACAGTGTCTTAATGAGGAGCAGTAATGCATTCATCATCTCTGAGCAGATGACAAGACTTTCCCTTCGGCCCGGCATCCCCTGAAATTCTCAGGTGGCACCTTCAACACATAGAAATTAGAATACATTCTGGGCGCCGATCCTCCACCTCCTTTCCTTCCCAAATGTTCTCCTCTATGTTGGTAAAGAAGCAAGCGAGCCCCAGACCCTTTGGGAACGAAGATGGTGTGATAGACGCTTGCAGCCTCTAGGTTAGGAGTGGGTGCAAATCCCCACCCTGCCACTGGCTGGCTGGCAACCCCCCCTCCCCTCCCCAAGCACAGTTCCTTTACCTCCAGGTCGGCCATAATGAGCTCTTCCTGAAACGTTGCTGTGGGGATTGAAGGATTGGGATATGTAAACATATGGAGTCCCTGGGTGGTGCAAACGGTTAACACGCTTGGCTGCTAACTGAAAGGTTGGAGATTCGAGTCCACCCAGAGGCACCTCAGGAGAAAAGCCTGGTGATCTACTTCCAAAAAATCAGCCGTTGGCAACTTTATGGAGCACAGTTCTGCTCTGAAACACATGGAGTCACAGTGAGTCGGAGTCACAGTGAGTCAGAGTCACCTTGACAACAACTGACATATAATCATATGGGGCAGACCAGGCCATAGAGGCTCTCTGTAGATGGTGGCCTGGTGCCACCGCTGCTTCTGGCATCCAGAAATCAAGGAGATCAAGGACATCAAGTGGGAGAGGAATTGATTTCCCCATAGCCATTTTGTGTCATCGTTTAAAATGTGCAAAATGGTCGTTTTGAAGAAGAGAAAAAAGAAAGCCTTCCCTTCCTTCTCCTGCGTGGGTCTGACGGCAGTAGGTGCAACATGTGATTTCTTCGCATTGTGAAGGACTTGCCAGCTCTGACAGCAGCAACTTTCGCTAGAGTATCAAATTGGAGCCTCAAATTATGTTCTCAAAGAGAGCCTTCATTTCTCTCTGCAATTTTTAAATGAGTTTTCTTTGGGAATGTAATAAGCCAGGGCAAATTGTCCTCAGCAGAGTCGGAGATCTGGTGGCTCCCAGACCCTGCTCCTGGGCCCATGTTTAATAGCAGGCTGTCGTGGTGACGGCTCGAATTACACAGCCATCATTTTGGAGCATGAGCATGATTTCTGCTCCGGGGTCTTTATTAATTTGCTTTAAATCGCTGTGTGAGATAACCTGGGCCACTTCATCTGAGTGGGTGTGCCCTGGAGCTCAATTATCCTGGCAGAGCTTGCAGCTTGGTCCAGCTGCTACCCACCAACACCTGCACCCCCAACCATCCATGGCCTTGGCCTCTTCCTACCGGCCCCTCTTCTCCCCGACAGCCGATGGGTTCATTCTGATTGCTGGAGGCATCAAGCCCTCCCCGAGGGAAGTGGCAGAGCATGGTGGAAGGCACTGTAAACCAGGAGCTAGGATACCTGGACTCCTTCCCAGCTCTGCCCCTTCACTGCTGTGTAACCCAGGGCGGGTTCCCATCCCATCTGAGCCTGACTTTCCCCATCTGTACATTGAAGGGGTGGACCAGAATCAGCACTGTCCAAATAGATCAGGTACTTAGGATTTGCAGGCCTAGTATTTCAGAATTTCTAAGTCGTGATGAAATTAGTGTTACTTTCTGTAAAGCCAGACATGCTGAAGCACCAGGTTTCTTGGCATTTATCCATTTACTCAGAGCGGTGGCCCTGGTTCACTTATCTAATCAGGACATGTTTACTGGGGGCTATAGGACCCCCTGGGTGGGGCAAATGGTTAACGTACTCAGCTACTAATAAAAGGTTGGAGGTTCAGGTCCACCCAGAGGTGCTTCGGAAGAAAGCCCTGGCTGTCTACTTCTAAAAATTCAGCCATTGAAAACCCTATGAGGCACAGTTCTACTCTGACACAAGGGGCTGCGTGAGTTGGAATTGATTCAAAGGCAGCTGATTACTATGTGGCAGACCCTAGGCTCAATCCTGAGGATGTGGGAGGCTTCCTGACAGCCTGAAGGGAGGGAAGACACTCGGCACCCATCTGCATCGAGATTTAATTACAGTGGTGATGGCTGCCGCCAGGAGAAGTGGGCAAGAGTGTCAAAGGAACCCGACCCGTCTGGGATAAGGGTAGACTTTCTTGAGGAAAGACACTTAAGCTGAGGTTTGAAGGGTGAGTTGGAGCCAGCCAGGTAAAGGTGGGGGAAGAGGAGTCCCAGATTTTTAAGGCAGACTGTAAGGCCCTAAGGGAGGAGGAGTTAGCTGGCCTTAAAGAACCAAGAGAAGGCCAGCGTGGCTGGAGCTTGGGGCAGTAGGGAGTGTGGACTGTAGTGAAACTAGAGTGTTAGGCAGGAGTCAGATCATGCTGGGCTTTGTAGGAGGGCATGTTGAGGACTTGGACTGCATTCTCAGAGCAGAGGCATCCATTGAAGGGTTTCCACCTGAGCGTGATGGGATCCTACTTGGTTGTCTCCTCAGAGTCAGAAGCCTAATGTTTTTTTATGAGTTCTCGACATTTGTGAGTCAGTTGCAAATCCTGGCTTTTGAAACACTGAGCTGCTTGCTGTACACATTATCCTTCCCCCCAAAACAAAGCATGATTATAAGACCACAAACAGAAAGCAATAGAGCCAGGTCCAGATAGAGGTGTGGGGCACCCTGCCAGACTTACTCACTAGTTCTGTGACTTGTCCTTGCCTGTCCCAGCTTCATGTCCACCCATTTGAAATACATGCCTAAGCAGTACGCAAGCTGCCGCAAATCCATCTTAAGTAGATAAATGTTTAATGTGTGAATGCCTACATCTGCAGCCTGAGAGAGTGGTCATGATGCATTTTGTTAGGGGAGAGATTCTTTTAAAGGTGGGATCCCTGGCGGGGGTGGAAGGAGAAAGAGGATTAAAAAAGAGATCTTTGGCAGTGAAAAGACTGGAACACACTAGCTCAGATGTGTTCATTCACTCGGAACACTTAGAGGGCTCTACTTCAAACAAAGCTGGGTTGTAGAGATGAGTGAGACTCCAAGGGCTTACACTTGAGTGGCCTCTAAGGTTGGAACTCAGGTTGTATGAGTCTGTGAGTTCAGGTTGGGACTTCTAAGACAGATCCTTTGGAAAGCAAGATGCTGTGCAACCTGACTTGCTGTTTCACATTGGGTGATCCAGTGCTGTGCTCTCCTATTACTGAGTTGTGGGGGAAGGTGGCTGGGATAGGACATATGGAAACCTGGGTTTGGATTCTCACTTAGCCTCCAAGTTGCTGTGTGCCAAGGCTGCCGTCTGCCCATTCCTTTCCCTTTGTAAGATGTACAATGTTAAAATAAATGCTCTCTGTGTCGCATCCCAGCACTAACATTTTACCTTCCAAGCCCATCCCCTTGCTGGGAATGGGGCTTGTGAAGTGAGGTGGGCAAGGCAATGCTCGGTTAGGATTTTCCTTGTCCTCTACTTCCAAACCTTGGCCCAAGATCCCTGAGACTTGGTGTCCCATGATGCTGATGGGGTTAGCAGACCCTGGGAGCAGAGATGAACTCAGAGATGCTCCCCCATCCCCCCACCACCTAACCAAGTCCCCTCTGGTGTTCCAGGTGCACCCTCTGCTCCCGGGCACACTCACCGTCATGATCCACGACCTGTGTCTGGCCTTCCCTGCCCCGGCCAAGGCTGAAATTTCCATCTCGGACATCCAGGAACTGTACGTCCGGGTGGTTGACAAGGTTAGTATGAGCTCCGAGATGGGCCCTCTCAGCTGATTTGCCAAAACCAGGAAGACTGTGTGACTGTGGTAGATGTGCTCCTCAGCCCCCTTGGGAAGGAGATGGGAGCTGTTCTGCTTTTTTCCCAGGTTTTGTGTCCCTCTACCCTCTTCTGAGGAGCTGTGAGCATGCAGGGCTGTCTTTTACCTTCACCACTCCATGTGGGGGATGCAGAGTCACCTCTGGTGTGATACTTCCTCATCGCGGTGACATGCATAAAGCGTGGCTGTAAATCCTGCTCAGAGCTGTCACTGAATTAGCCTTGAGGTGGGGATTCAGGTCCTCAAGCTGCTGTGGGTACAGAGCAGCCAGGCACAGACCTGGGCTGAACATGAGTTCTCTCCCCAGAATTGGTTTTGGCTTCTTGGGAATTTCAGTAGCACATGGGTAAAACACACTCATGCCAAGTACTTTTGCAGAATGAATAAATAACAGCTCTAGCTTTTTCTTTCATGTAAAACAGGGAATTTCTATTACTTCAAATATCTACAGTAATTGAAGCTAGGCTTGCAGAGGGTTGCCCTCAAGTTCCTATTTTCCTGAGCAGATAGAGTGGTTTGCAGTGAAAAGCGGAATTCCTAAGCAGCTGTTTGGTCAGTGAGCATTTATTGAGCTCCTACTGTATGCCTGTTGCTGTTCTCAGCTGTGTCTTATCTCCCTAGCTAGATGGTTAGCCCTTTGAGAGCAGGGAATGGGATTTCTGCATCTAAGTATCCCCAAGGCGCTTGTATACGATAAACACTTAGTTTTCATTTGTTGATTGCGGGTGACTCATCCCCAATTCCCAGGTCCCATGGGTTTGAGGTCAGTGTTGCTTTGTTAGAAAGTTGTTGGACATCACAGGTGATGAAATTGGTCATTCAAAGGCTACCCCTGCGTCTGTATCCACCACATTGTAGGTGGAGATTGGGAAGATGGTCAAGGCCTATGTCCGTGTGCTGGACTTTTACAAGAAGCCATTCCTGGCCAAGTACTTCACTTTTATGGACTTGAAGCTCCGAGCAGCCTCCCAGATTGTCACGTTGGTGTGAGTCCTCCTGGGGGTCAGGACTGGGGGTCTCAGGGAGCTGCGTGACCCCAACTTCAGCCTCTCCAACTGGTCTGCCTGGGGTGAGAAGCCTAGCCCTTCCCTTTGTTCCAGGGCCCTCGACGAAGCCCTCGACCACTACACTGCCACGTTCCTGGTCCACGGTGTGGCCATTGGCCAGACCAGCCTGACTGCAGCTGTGACCGACAAAGCCGGACAAAGAATCAACTCGGCCCCACAGCAGATAGAAGTAAAACGGCTCCTTTTCACACGATGTGCCTGCATGTGCTTGGCGGGGGTGGGGATCGGGGTCATGCTTTTACTGTGATAGGCTGGGAATTTTAGGGACAGTCCAGGAAGCTACCTTGGAGAGGCCATGTTAAAATCTATGCCTGTCAGTGTCCTTGCTCAAAGGGCAGCTTTTACCAGTCCCAGGGATCTGGGACAGCACAGTTAGACTGTGACCAAAGGGGACAGTGTGGCTCAGACCAGGGCAGTTAGTTGTCACGTGGCAGACAGAGTAGCAGAACATTCCTTAAACTTCGAAGTGCCGTCAGGGTGAAGGGAACAGAAACAAATGACTGGGCAGGACCTCCCAGTAGATTTTGGCCCACGTAGGGAGGCACTTCCCTGCTGTCCATTCTGACGAGCATTAGAATAGATACCTGGGAGGCAGGGGTGCCTGTCACTGGACATGTGCAAACCCAGGCAGCTAGTCATGAGGAGGGTCCCCGGCGCAGGCCCTGAGGTCCCTGGCCCTTGTCTCCATGTATGACTTGGGGCTGCCACGTGGCATTAGGGCTGACAGGAGCCAGAGGCCATGGCTGCGATGGCCGAGAAATCACATCCAAATTGGTTCTTCAGCCGCAGCATCAAACCATGTGGCTTCAGCTGGGTACTCCATGGGCCTCGGTCACATGGGTACTGGCAGGTGCTATTAATCCATGTTCTTAAACTGTGTGATGTGATTTGTGCCTCTAGATGAAAGTGCACTTTTCTTCTCCCGGTGATGAGGAATTCATCTCTGCCTATAAATAGCACAGCCCTACAAAGACTAATCCTCACACACAGAGAGCCTCCTGGCCGACGGGCACTCACTCACCCGACCGGCATTTCTGAAGCTCCCGCCAGGCAGGGAATGGGATGGGGTGAGGAAGAGGGCGTCGGAGTTTTGCCCTGTTACAGAGCTGGGGCATCCTCATCCCTGGTCTCCCACCTGGGCTTGTCCCTGCCCCCAGACATCTTTCCTCCTCTGAGAAGATGAGAGAGTTGAAGCAGAGAGCTGTTCTAAGGCAATTTGTCAGTAGAGATTTGGAGACATTTAGGGAAAGAGGCAGCCTTCCAGCCCTTCAAGTTGGGGAAATCTCAAAGGCAGAAGATCTTAAACTTTAACGTGCATCAGAATCATCTGGAGGGCCTGTTAAACCCAGATTACAGGACTCCACCTCTGAGTCTGTAGGTCCTAGGTGGGGCTGGAGGGTTTGCATTTCTTACAAGGTCCCAGGTGATGCTGCCGCTGCCACCCAGGGGACCACACTGTGAGTACCAGTGCTCCAAGGGGATGTCTCAGATGAGCAAAAGCCTTTATTTTCATCGGGCTCTGCATCTGTGGTGAAATGGAGTGCAGGTACAGCCTGTGATGGCAGAAGGCAGAACATGCCTGTGGAAAAGCATAGGTCCTGGTGGGTGGGGATGAGGCCCTGTCAGGGTGCTTGGCCAAGGGCGGCCATGTCGCCGGGCTGGCAGCCCTGCAGGCTCCCCCAGAGTTGACACCAGGCCCCCAGGCCCTGTGGACATCCTTTGGAGCTGAGCAATTCCTTGCATCATGTCTCCTTCTCCTTATAAAAGGTGTGAGCTTGGGACACAACGGCCCCTTCCCTCTTGTCTCCACACCCAGGTCTTTCCCCCGTTCAGGTTGATACCCAGGAAGGTGACCCTTATCATCGGGGCCACAATGCAGGTAAGAGCCAAGAGGTCGCCCCTGTCCCTTCACCCACCCTCAGCCAGGTGAGTGGCGTGGTCCTGGCCTGGCCCGCCTGCCCACTCTGCCCTGCTCCAGGCAGCCTGCCTCTCCCTCTGAGGACGGGCGCTGCCCACACAGCCCCCCGGGGTTTGGTGGAGTGTCCACTGTTGTAGCTGATCTGGAGGCATCACTGATGAACGCTGCTATTCCCCACCACTCCAGATCACCTCGGAGGGCGGCCCCCAGCCTCAGTCCAACATCCTGTTCTCCATCAGCGACGAGAGCATGGCAACGGTGAGCAGCACCGGGCTGGTACAGGGCCTCGCCGTGGGCAATGGGACCGTCACAGGCGTCGTGCAGGCCGTGGATGCTGAGACAGGCAAGGTCGTCGTAGTGTCTCAGGTAGGGAGAGTCGACGCAGGGGCCGGGCTGCCTTTAGTACCTGCCCAGAGAGGGAAGCACCTGCCCGCCGTATCGCTGTGTGTGGGGTCCACCACCCCCTGGGCTGTCTGCTATATGCCTGGTCAACTGCAGTGGGAGACAGCCCTGCTGTCAGATTTAGGACCTGCCTCTCGATGACCACCCCCTCTGGGGGTCCTGGTTCTGCCCGTGAGTCTGCACCCCTGCCTGTTGCCCTGCCTGGGACGGCCCAGGGACGTGGGACAGCACCTGGGTGCCCGAGGCTGCTCCTGCTCCAGGCTGAATCACCTCAACTCTTCCAGCGCCTCTTCATGAGACATGCTTTCCAGCTCCTTCCCCACCCTAGGACATCTGATTTGCGAGGATGACCCTGCTTGTGCTGGCAGATGCTGCACTGAGCACTTTACCTCCATCTTGTTCAGCCCTCATAACCCCTGTGTGCATTTCACTCCTATTCCTGGTGCAGACGAGGGGCCTGAGACTCAGAGGATAAGGGGCTGCCCCTGCGTGGCGGCTTTAGGAGCCTGACATCAGAGCTCCAGGTCCTTCTGTGCATTCGGCTCAAGCAGGGCTTTGGGCTGTTGGGATGGAGGAGGAGGGGCTGCTCCTAGCTCTAGCACACTTTGTGGATCGTGTGTGTGTTCAGAAGTGCGCATGAACTTGACGACTTTCACGTGGATCATTGAAAAACAGTAGTAGTTCAGACCTGGATGTGTACTTCAGGAAAAAGAAACCTTGAGTTGGCCACTGGTATCTTCTGCTCAGCCAGAGATGAAATCATCTCCCAAGCCTCTTTGCCAGCACGGGGGACATTTCCAAGTGCCCTTATGGGTCAGCAGAGAAGCTAGAAGGCTGAGTTAGGGGAGTCTTCTCCCCACGGTGGGCTCCCTGCCCCACATCAGTGGGACTAACCCCAAGCAGGTGGATGTTGGCATCGCTAAGATCACCTTTCTTTGCTCCTCTGGGAAGGAGGTGGGAGGACTCTTCCCACATCCTCAGAAGGGCATCGAGGCTAAAATGTCAGGGCGCTCAGGTGCTCCCTGACATCCTTTGCCTGTAGTGCAACAGCATCTCCAGAAAGGCTGCTCCGTGGACCCTGCTCATGGCCACGCCAAAGCTTGATCAGTAAGAGCAGCGTTTTACGTCATGTAATATGACTCTAGCTCCCTAGGTGGCGTAAATGGTTAAGCACCCAACTACTAGCCGAGAGGTTGGTGGTTCAGACCCACCCAGAGGCGCTTCGTGATCTGCTTCCAGCAGGTTACAGCCATTAAAAACCTTATGGAACAGTTATACTCTGCACACATGCAGTTGCCATGAGTCAGAATCGATTTGACAGCAACCAACAGCAACAACATGACTGTGGACAAGTAACGTTTCAGAACACAGGCATCCCAGTCCTTGTTCAGAAGCCAGGGCTCTGAAAGCCGTCCGTGAGCGCCTCTGAGCTCAGCGTTGAAGCCCAGAGCACCCAGGAAGCCACATGCGTCAGCCTGGAGGAGGAGTGCACGCGGCTGTGTTCTCTGCAGTTGGCTTTGATCTGACATTGAGTCCATTGATTTAGTCCCCTTTCCAGCAGTTTTTGTGTCAGCTTCCACGTGTCCCGGTTAAACCGCAAAGTCTCTTTGAAATGCTGAGGTGGATGCCTGATTCTATGTATTGATTTAGTAAAGACAACAAGAAAGCTCTGGAAATGCTAAAATCTTCTCTGTGGCGTGCAGCAACGTGCAGCTGGGCATCCTGGAGAATAAAACTAAGCACCACAGGAGGCCCTGCTTTTTGTCTAAAGAAAGGGTTGAGGCCTCAGGAACAGACTCATTTTTCTCTTCTGGGGGGCCCAGGTGGCTGAAAGCGCCAAAGGGACACTAAGTTACGCGTTTTCCTTCCCGTCTGCCTCTCCTCTTTGTGGTCTGACCTTGCAGGGCCACCTCCCTCTGGGTCTCCCATCTGGTGGACTGGGAGAACTGCTGGAGAAAGGCCCCGGTGCCCCTTGGCGGATGGAAGGGCTGTGCCACCAGCTCCGTCTGAAAGGCATGGACCCAGGCAAGCGGGGGCTCAGCCTGTGGCCCCTTGTCCAGGACCAAGCATGTGATTCTAGTCAGATGCTCCCGGCTCCATCTGTCCAGTCCAGGTCACAGAGTCAGCAGGGTAGGCCAGGACTAGCAGAGGGAGCCTGAGTACAGTGAAGAGGACAAGAGGAAGGGAGTGAATGCTCATGGAACACATACTACGTGCCAGGTGTTAGCCCACATCACAAGGCACAGAAGGTGCGGTCAGCACGAGCACATACAAAAAAGGCTTAAGGGTTTTTGTAGTCCAAGTTCAACACAAGTCAGTGGCACTGTAAAGCAGCCAATAAAGTTAGTCTTTGGACACATTACTAGGAATATAGAGTTCAGAATGAAGGAGGGGATGAAATCTGCTCTAATCAGACTCTGCCTGGATCCTGCATTCAGCTTGTACGTTGCTCAGTCAGAGTGGCAAGGAAAGAGGCAGGCTAGACTTGGGATTGAGAGGGTCTGAGACGTGTCCTGTGAGGAGCTAGGGCTGCCCAGTCTCATCACTGCCCTCAAGTCTTGCAGTGCTGACCTGGAGCAGCTGGAGCTGATAGGTCTGTGGAAGAAAATCAGGCTGGGACCCCCGGGGGATGAGAGAGGCAGAGCCCAGGTCACGTGGTAGCCAGGCTGCCTCAGGAAGATGAGCTTTGTGCTGGACAGCCTGTGGGTGCCTTCTTGCCATGTGACTCTGAGCTGGCCTCAGCAGAAGCCACCTTCCCTTAGAGGGGTCCCTTCCAAAATCACCCATCTCTAGCATGAAGTCCCTCCCCACAGCCAGCCTGAGCTCCAAAGCCTTTTTCCTAGGATCGTGTGGAGGTGGAGGTGCTGCTTCTCCAGGCGGTGAGGATCCGAGCCCCCATCACACGAATGAGGACAGGGACCCAGGTGAGGTGGGACCCTCTCCAGCCCTCTGTCTGTGTTCTCTGAGCAGCCTCTCAGGAGGTCTTGGGCTCTGAATCCCGGTTCAGGATGAGCTTGGAGGAGCCACACTCCCTCTGCGACTAAGCCTTTATACACGCTATTCCCCTTGCTAGAATACTTCATTTTCCCCTTCACCTGCTTGCTGTTGTTAGGTGCCGTCGAGGCAGTGCTGACTCATAGCGACCCCACGCACACAGAATGGAACACAGCCTGGTCCTGTGCCATCGTGACAATCGTTGCTATGCTTGAGCCCATTGTGCAGCCACGGTGTCAGTCCATCTTGTTGAGGGTCTTCCTCTTTTTCAATGACCCTCTTCTTTGCCAAGCATGATGTCCTTCTCCAGGGAGTAGTCCCTCCTGATAACGCGTCCTAAGTACGTGAGACAAACTCTCGCCATCCTTGCTTCTAAGGAGCGTTCTGGCTGTACTTCTTCCAAGACAGATTTGTTCGTTCTTCTGGCAGTCCACGGTGTATATTCAGTATTCTTTGCTAACACCATAATTAAAAGGCATCAATTCTTCGGTCTTCCTTATTTATTGTCCAACTTTCGCATGCATATGAGGTGATTGAAAGTACCATGGCTTGGGTCAGGCGCACCTTAGTCCTCAAAGTGGCATCTTTGCTTTTTAACACGTGTTAAAGAGGTCTTTTGCAGCAGGTTTGCCCAATGCAATGCGTCGTTAGATTTCTTGACTGCTGCTTCCATGGGCATTGATTGTGGATTCAAGTAAAATGAAATCTTGACAACTTCAGTGTTTTCCCTGTTTGTCATGATGTTGCTTATTGGTTCAGTTGTGAGGATTTTTGTTTTATGTTGAGGTATCATTCATCCTGAAGGTTATAGTCTTTGATCTTTATCAGTAAGTGCTTCAAGTCCTCTTAGCTTTCAGCAAATGAGGTTGTGTCATCTGCATAGCACAGGTTGTTGGTGAGTCTTCTCCAATTCTAATGCCACGTTCTTCTTCAGCAGCTTCTTGAACTGTTTGCTCAAAATACAGATTGAATAAGTTATGGTGAGAGGATATAGCCCTGATGCACACTTCCCTGCTTTTAAACCACACGGAATCCCCTTGTTCTGTTTGAACAACTGCCTCTTGGTCTATGTATAGGTTCCTCATGAGCACAATTAAGTGTTCTGGAATTCTCACTTTTTGCAGTGTTATCTATAATTTGTTATGACCCACACAGTTGAATGCCTTTGATAGTAATAAAACACAGATAAACATCTTTCTGCTATTCTCTGCTTTCAGCCATGATCCATCTGACACTAGCAATGATATCCCTTGTTCCACATCCTCTTCTGAATCTGGGTTGAGTTTCTGGCGATGTACTGCTGCAACTGCTTTTGAATGATCTTCAGCAAAGTTTTACTTGCGTGTGATATTAATGATATTGTTCGATAATTTCTGCATCCTGTTGGATCATCTTTCTCTGGAATGGGCACAAATATGGACTTCTTCCAGTTGGTTGGCCACATAGCTGTCTTCCAAATTTCTTGGTGTAGACGAGTGAGCATCTTCAGCACTGCATCCGTTTGTTGAAATATCTTAATTGGTATTCCATCAATTCCTGAATCCTTGTTTTTCACCAGTGCCTTCAGGGCAGCTTGGACTTCTTCCTTCAGTACCATCAGTTCTTGATCATATACTACCTCCTGAAATGGTTGAACGTTGACCAATTCTTTTCAGTATAGTGACTCTGAGTATTCATTCCATCTTATTTTGATGCCGCCTGTGTCATTTAATATTTTGCCCATAGAGTCCTTCAGAATTACAACTTGATGCTTGAATTTTTTCTTCAGTGCTTTCAGCTTAAGAATGCTGAGCATGTCCTTCCCTTTTGGTTTTCTAACTCCAGGTCTTTGCACATTTCATTATAATACTTTACTTTGTCTTCTCGAGACGCCCTTTGCAATCTGCTGTTCATCTCTTTCACTTCATCATTTCTTTTGTTTGCTTTAGCTCTCGACATTCACGAGCAAGTTTTAGAATATCTTCTGACATCCATTTTGGTCTTTTCTTTCTTTACTGTCTTTTTAATGACCTGTTGCTTTCTTCATGTATATCCTTGATGTCATCCCACAGCTCATCTGGTCTTCAGTCATCAGTGTTCAGTGCATCAAATCTATTCTTGAGATGATCTCTAAATTCAAGTGGCATATACTCAGAGTCATATTTTGGCTTTCATGGACTTGTTTTAATTTTCTTCAGCTTCAACTTGAGCTTGCATATGAGCTGTTAATGCTGAACCCCTGCGTAGCTATGAGGCTCCTAAAGGGAACCTTCCCAGAACTTCCTGCTCCAGACCTGATAAGCACCTTCTCTCTGTTCTCTGCTGTTGCAGCTCAAAGCTCCTTTAGTATGTAATATTTCTCTCCTTCGCATTCTGCATCTGGGTGGTTACTAACACCTCCTTCTCCACTAGACTGTCACCTTCCCACACTGAGACCAGCATGTGGCACATAACAGGAGCTAGCATTTGTAGAACATTTGCTCTACTGAGTGCTTTCTGTGTTCATTTAGTGTTCACGACAGCCATGGGGTCAGCATCGGTGTCCCCTCCATGTTACGGAGGAGGAAATTAGCAGTCGAAAGGTTCAGGTGCTTGCCCGAGTCAGCCAGCTACTGTGTAATGGAGCCAGGCATGCACCCAGGCAGTCTGGCTCCTAGTTAGTTTCACCTTTTGCTATGTGGTCTCCCCATGTGCGCTCTGGTGGGTGCAGGTAATCCCCACCCACGTGTGCAGGGACCACCTGTAAGACTGGGAAAAGAGGGGGCACTGGGCAGGATGCGTGGTGCTGCTTGAGATCTGGGGGTCAGGTCCAGAAATGGGGCTCCCTGCCCTGGCGAGACACACCCATGGCAAGAGGTAGGCTAGTCCTGCCCTTTGTGTGACCGTCTGCTATTGCTTCTTCCCACACCTGTGCTGCACCCTTGTCTCGTTGGGAGGGATTGGGCTTGGCTCCCAGACATGGAAGGTGCGGGCTGTGGAGAGACCATCCAGGTAATCCAGGTAGCACCACAGGGCTCCAGGTACTCCTGGCATGGACTCGGGGCGGGCTCCTGCCTTGGGGTCACAGGGCCTGACTTCTCCCCCTAGATGCCCGTCTATGTCACCGGGATCACCAGCAGCCAGAACCCTTTCTCCTTTGGTAATGCTGTGCCTGGCCTGACCTTCCACTGGTCTGTCACCAAACGGGATATCCTGGACATTCAGGGTCGGCACCACGAGGTAACCACCATCAAGAGTTGCTCTGTCCTGCATCTCTGGCCAGTGTCCTGGGTGGGTGCTCTCACCACATCTCCACGCACAGGGTCTGCACCTTTGTGCCCAAATGTTGTCGGGATCCTTCCTCTTCTCTTGGGGCTCACACAGACTCCCTTCTCCCAAACACTGCCCCACAGGATCCTGATCATGTCTAGGAGTATGGTCTCCCTAGCACCCCAAGCCTGGTCCACAACCCCTTTGCATTGCAGAGGACCAAGCAGAAGGCAGCAAAAATAACAGCCTTGTGGGGAAGCCAGAAAAGTTCTAGAATGTCAAAGGGTCTTGGTCTTCTGACCCGCTTTTTGAGATGGCATCTGGCAGCTTGGGATTTTCTCCGGTTTTACCCCAGAGCTCAGCCAAACTTCCCTTCCCTTAGCCCTCTGTAGGGCCCTTGAGCAACCTTGGAGTCTCAGTGAGGTGGGGAGGGGGTGTGGGGAACCTGCCAAGCTCCTCTGTGTGTTAACTGAAGCCCAGAGGTGGGACAGGACCCGCCCAGGGCCACACAACCAGCGCAGACCTGTGCCAGGGAGCTGGGTGTGTGACTCCAGGCTACAACACTGGCTGGACACACAGGACCCTGTGTAGAGGGCTGGTTCTGAGAGGCTCTTTGCTTTATCCGTGGACAGTTGGGGTGGAGGCCTTGGGAGAGGGACAGGCACAGGACAGGTCTCCTAAAGTCAGCCCTAGTGTAGTGTAGGATGGTTGCCTCTTTCCCTCCCCAGTGGGCCCGGTGTGCCTGGGGTGGTTTCCCACATTGCTTTCCAGGCACACTGGCAGTGCAGCTTATTAATGGACACCTCATAATAGGAGGGTCTATTGCTAATCATGACAGAGGACCAGACAGAAAGCTGCAAAAACAACAGCCTTGTGGGGAAGTCAGGACAGTTCTAGAATGTTGCAGGGTCATTCTGTGGCTCCTGTTTTGGAGATCCTACAAAGCCTAACTTCCCCCTTGGTGATTCATAACCCACCCTAGAACATTGAAGACTCTGACAAGTCCCACTATAAAGAAAGCTGCTCTGCTTTACCAGATTCACCCGTGGACATCATGAAATGCAGCATGGGGCATGGTGCTATCGGGCTGGGGTGACTGCAGGCAGTCGGCTGTCAGACCCCCCGCAGCTGGGGGGAGTCTGGGGCTGCTGTCAGGCTCTGTCCTCCCAGGGTGCAGGGAGCCATGCCCTTCCTGACAGCGTGTTTGGCATCTGTCCTAGGCATCACTCCAGCTCCCATCGCGGTACAACTTCGCCATGAACGTGCATGCCCGAGTGAAAGGCCGTACTGGGCTGAAAGTGGTGGTCAAGGCTCTGGATCCCACAGCTGGGCAGCTGCACGGTCTTGCCAAGGAGCTCTCCGATGAGATCCAAATCCAGGTAAGGGCCAGAGCGGCAGAGAAAGGCCCACATGTAAGTGGGAGGGCAAGTGCCAGGGCCATTTTCTCACTGGGCTGGGCAGCTACATGAGCCCTTTGCTGCCCCAGCCGGGAGGGCTGGGGTGCTGATGGGAAACAGGGCACATTCATGCCCTGAGGCACACTAAGCCAGCTAGGGGAGATTGATCACCATGTGGTGAACCTGGGTGTGGGGACCTGGGGGTGTGTAACGTGCTGTGGGAGCCCAGGACTGGGCTGGCTGAATGCCTCAGAGAGGAGGTTATGTTTGTCCAGGCAGAGGGAACAGCATGTGCAAAGGCCTGGAGGCCTCCAAAAATCACAAATAATTCTGATCTTAGAGTCTGAGGTACCTTAATGATAGGAAGAAGCTGGAAAAAATCTGTGCTGGGCCATTAATTTAATGATCTGTGTTTATTTAGCAAACACTCACATAGCACTTAATAGGGCAGACATGCCTTTCTGGACTTTGCCGCATTAATGCACGTCATCCTCACATGACGCTGTGAGGCAGTGCTGCCACTGGACAATGAGCCAGAGGCACAGAGGTGAAGTGACCTGCTCCAGACTGCAGAATGAGCAGCAGGCCGGGCTGCGGTGGCCTCGAGTGCCCTGCGTGGGCAGCCTGGTGGGCATTGCAGCAGTCGTTCTGAAGGTGGGGGAATCGAGCCTTGTGGGGCAGTCTGTTAAGCCCCATGGACTCGCTGCAGTTGAACACGGTGCCCAGCCCTCTCCTCCGGCCAGCACTTGACCCCTGTGTCACTTGCCCAGCCTGTGCCTCCTGCTCAGCAAAGCTGACTTTGGATACCCTCCCCCACCCCTCTGGGCCCTGTCTGTGAAACGGAAGTTGGCACAGTGGCTCTGAAGAGCATTTTTAGCTTCAAGGGCCCCATTCCGCTAATCTGGGATTCAGTGACTCTTGGATCCTCCTAAATTGCAAAGAAAAACGAAATGCAGTCCCTAAGTGTCTTGAGAGAAGGAGTAGTTTCAAGTCGCCCCTTCAAAAATAAAGAAACCATTTCTAACCCAGGCATAAACCCAGTCAGGGATAACCAGTAACACCAGTTGCCATCCTGTTGACCCTGACCCATGGCATCCGTGTGTGTCAGAGTAGAACTGTGCTCCATGGGGTTTTCAATGGCTGACTTTTTGGAAATAGATTGCCAGGCCTTTCTTCTGAGGTAGACTCAAACTGCCAGCCTTTCAGTTAGCAGCAAATGTGTTAACCATTTGTACCACCCAGGGACTCTATCAGATTTTAAAAGAAAGCAACAACTGCTTGTCACCCCAGCCGCTGCCTACACACGGGCGCGCACACACACACACACGCACACACACACGCACGCACACGCACGCACACACACGCACGCACACGTATTCTTCCAGGTTAAAAATAAAATGAAATAAGTTCTGGCACCCATCAGGGAATTAAAGATGGGACTTTGCAGCTTCCAAATTCCGTGACCTTAGTTGAGTCGCTCAACATCTTTGTGCCTCAGTTTCCTCACCTGACAGCAGATGGAACTGGAGTAAATCAGAAACTAGAGAAGCTGGATCCAGCCCACAGATGTGTCTTACTTGGCTCACTCAATGCTTTTAAACATTTTTCATTTGTTGGCAACATTTAAAAATAGGAAGATTCTGCATAAAAATCTAATATAGAGCTTGTCTTGAAAACATGGCATTTTGTCAGATGGCAAAACCAGCCAGAGATGAATGGTAGCCTCCCCTTTAAATAGAGCTGTGTGCTCCAGTTTGCCTCAGTCCCCACCATTCCCTGTTGTCTCCCTGAGAGGGAGGCCGAATAGCAGTTGCCATGTATCTTGGTGCTTGCAGTGTTGCTTTTCGTGTAGTAGTGTTAACAGGAAAGTGAGATATCTCGTGCCTTCAACTGCGCTGAAAAAGGGACAACAGACAAAGAATGCATGTTTTAAGAAAAATAAGAGGAAGCACTTTTTTGTATGTGAATGGAGTTACTACACAGTAAATGTGTCAGAGTCAAAATTTGTGAGGCTGCTTCTCTCTTGGATGTTGCCTGCCGGACTGAAGCTGGCATCTGAGTTTGCCCTGGACTCAGCTGACACCAAAACCTTATCCAGCTCCCAAAGGCGGTTTATCACTCACTGTTTAGGAAATGCTTCCACTCACTGTGTTACGTGAACCCCACCACTCTTTTGAGATGGGTATGGCTAGGATTATTAGTTGTAGACCCACTGTACAGATGAAGAAATCTAGAGTGTATTAGGTCTGGGCAGGAGGAGAGTCAGGCCAGTTTCCTCCTGGAGAGCATTTGTCAGTTCAGAGATATTAGATGCTGGCTTAGGAGCTGAGGCCGTAGGATCCAGCTGGTCTGGTCGGGAGCCCGCGGGGAGCACAAAGTACAGCTGTAGCTGCGCAGCATGGAACTGCCCCTGAGGCAGGCTTGGATGCCAAGGCTTCTGGCATCCTCGGGAGTTCTTAGCAGGGTGATGGGCGCATTAGGGTGCATACAGAGAAGGATCTGGAGTTCCCCTGATGAGTGCTGTGACGTGGGCTCTGGGAGCCACTGAGGGCTCAGACCACCTGGGAGTGACAAGATCGGCTTAAATCCTGTGGTTTTCAGGCTCATCATCTGCCCGACTGAACTCACATCACTCCCTTCCACCTGTCTCTGCAGGTCCTACCAGAGCATGGGGTCAGGGGGTGGGCAGAGATACGGGGCCAAGATGGTGACTGGGAAATTGTTCTGAGATGTAGACAGGAAGGAGCAGAAGGTCTGGATGAGAGAAAAGAACACTGAACGGTGCTTGTGGCGACAGCTGAGCAAGGCCCTGGGCCATTCCGCCTGCTGCCTTCCTCCACGCCCGGCAAACACAGCCCTCCAACTTCGAGCAGGAGAGGCGCTCATTTCGGGCTCCATGAAGCAGCTCCCCGTGGAGGTACACAGCGTGAGGCTGCCTGCTTTTTCTCACTGCGCCTTTGACCTCCTTGGAGCCCTTGTGGCACAGTGGTTAAGAGCTACAGCATGCTACTGTTGCTAACCAAAAGGTTGGCAGTTCAAATCCACCAGCCACTCCTTGGAAACCCTATGGGACAGGTCTACTTTGTCCTATAGGGTCGCTATGAGTCAAAATCGACTCGATGGCAGTGGGTTTTGGTTTTTATTTTTTAAAGGTCAGCCTTAATAGTCAAGTCACTAGCTCCCAGCAGGTGGTAGCTCACAACAGTTTTTCTCATCCCTGGTCCCCCTTGGCTGTCCCTGCTAGGAGGGAAGGCAGATACCTGAACCTGACTCTGGTGTATCATAGGAAATAAAACCAGTAAACCAGTTGCCTTGAGTCGACCCTGACTCATAGCGACCCCATGTGTATCCGAGTAGAACTGTGCTCCATAGGATTTTCAATGGCTGATTTTTTGAAAGTAGATCAGTAGGCCTTCTGAGGCACCTCTGGGTGGACTCAAATCACTAACCTTTCACTTAGCAACCAACTACATTAACCGTATACACCACCCAGGGACTCATAGGAAATCAAACTTGCCTTCTCTTCTAGGTATTTGAAAAGCTGCTGCTGCTGAACCCTGAAATAGAAGCAGAACAAATATTAATGTCACCCAATTCATTTATAAAGCTTCAGACAAACAGGTACGTGACTCAGTCTCTGTTCTCCACGAGGTTGGGGAGCTGTGCTTGCATCCGACAGCTCATTTGTCAGAGCTGTTAGGGCCACGGTGCTCTAGTGAATTGTGCATCTCTCTGGGTGTTGCGTTTCAAGTGGATGCACTTCTGCATCCTTGTCTCCACCGCTGACTGCCTCTCTTCCTCCACACTGTGCCTCCCTGCCGTGCCTCTTCTCCTCCCTGGAGCCTAGAAGCATTTTAATGCTAGCTGCTAACATTCAGTATTTAAAAAGGAAAAAAGCACCAACGTGAAAGTGTTAAATTTTTCAAATGCCCCTGCATTTCAAGACTTGCCAATCAAAGCGTGGTCCATGGACCAGAAGCAGCAGCATCACCTGGGAGATGTTAAAATGCAAATCTTGGGACCAACCAGACCTACTGAATGAAGGCCTGCATTTTAACAAGATCCCCAGGTGATGGGTATGCACGGTAATGTTTGAGAAGCCCTGTTTCAAAGCACGTCTGCAAACGTAATTCCTGCCTTTGATTCAAAGGGGTTACCTTTGGTGGTTATGCACTTGTATTAGAGCCGTGGTTGCAAAGTGGGGGAATATCTGGACCATAGCATCATTTATATGTTGCATTAAACACACACGCAGTGTTCATTCATCCAAAATTATCTAAACACCAAGCTCTGTGGTAGGCTCTGGGAACACAGAGGTGAATGACATACAGTGTCCTTGAGGAGTCCAATGGGGGAAGAGACGAGTATAGTATGAGAAGGGCTGTAATAAAACAAGCCATAATGTTCAAGCCAGAGCCCAAAGAAGGGCCCTTCACTCGTGGATTTAGGGAAGACATCACAGATGGAGATGCTTTAACTGGGTCTTGAAGGATGAATAGGAGTTCATCAGGCTAACAAGGAGAGGGGCTAATCAGGGGATGAAAGTCCCGGCAGAGGCAGTAGATTTGCTTGAGGCCATCTGGAGAGGGTCTGTGGAGTCAAGGCAGATAGAGAGGTGAGAGGGGTAGCCCTGGGAGCTGGAGTCCTTTCCTTCCTGTGTTTTTATTACGTGGATGAAGATGTAAGAGTATAAAATCTATGTAATTTGTTTCCTACCAAGTGTATAATATCCATACAGTGTACAAACCACTTAGAGGGTAGCTTGTTTTACCATGTGAACAGTCCTTGGAAATAGGACAGGGCAGGGTCGTTGTTCCCCTTTCACAGTGGAGGCAGTTGAGGCCAGGAGGCAAAACACTGGACCTAAAGGGACACAGCTGGGGCCGGCATTGAGTTCTGTCAAACTCAAGGTCTCACCCTCTTTCCAATACGTCAGGCTGCCTTATCTCAGTAAATCAAACACGATTTACCGCAGAAACCATCTTTGACAATAAATATCCCACATAGCTGAGGGAAACTCAGCCCTCCTGGTCCTTCCCTCCCTACCAGCCAGCCCGGGGTAGGTGGTGCTTTTGGAGCGTGAGAAGCAATGTTCTGCTTGGAACTCTTGATTTTCCAAATTAGGTTTTCGTTGAGTGACTGATGAGGCTGCGACAGACTGGCAGTGCATGGCCTTGGTACACGGTGGGACCAAGAGGGCTTTCTTCTTCTCCCGGGAGCAGTGGAGAGCCCGAGGGTGAACCGCAGGCGGTCAGATAGAGTGCAGTGGGTCTCCACCCCTCACTGGACCCACTTCTGCCTTCTGTAAAAACAGGTCTGCTTTGTGTTCCAAAGGGATGGTGCAGCGTCTCTAAGCTACCGTGTTCTGGATGGGCCCGAGAAGGTTCCTGTCGTGCACATTGACGAGAAGGGCTTCTTGGTGTCAGGATCCATGATTGGGACATCCACAGTCGAAGTGATTGCTCAAGAGCCTTTTGGGGCCAACCAAACCATCATTGTTGCTGTTAAGGTGGGTAAGACTAATTCAAGGCCAAAGGTCCTAGATAAAATGTTACAGTGACTTCTCGCTATCAGAGCTGAAGCTCCTTGGAGATTATTCCATCTTTCATTTCATAGATGGGGAAACTGAGGCCCAGTGAGGTCTGTGATTTGCCCAAGGTTGTAGAGCGCGGACTAGCACCCAGTGTCCTGCCTGGCAGATTGGAGCTGTGGCCACCAGGCCTGACCACTAACCTTATCATTACTGGCTGATGGACCCTACTCTATGCCGTCCAGTGCCTGGAACATGATCGTTCTCAAGAGTATTGAATGAATGTGCTGGGTCCCTTACATAAGGGATCCCATGTAATCCTCATTACAACTTTGGGAACTAGGTGGTATTTCCCCATTTTACAGACAAGAAAACAGACTTGGAGTAGAAGTGACTTGCCCAAAGTCACCGCGTGACTGAGTCAGCCTGGATTCGATCCCGAGTTGTGTCTTTCCCATTGTAGCACAGCACCTCCCGTGGCCCCTCTGCCCTCCTGTGCTCCTTAGTTACGGAGGCTTTCTCCTGGAATGTGAACTGGGCGTCACTGGATTAAGTCCCAGGGTTTATCCTGGAACAGAATTTTCTCTTCATATCGTATCATAGCCTCTTTCTGAATCTTAGCTGACAGAGAAAATACATCATCACTCTAATTTTTAGACTCTACCTGGCTCCCAGGCCAAATTCCTTAAAAGAAGGTCTCTTTATTCCCAGTAGGTGCCTGGCAGGGAGCCCCCTACCCTAGTTCTTAAGTAAGTGAAAGTGGCTGACTGCTCATCCTATCTCAGCGTATTTATTGAGCACCACCTGTGTACCAGACACTGTACCACTGAACTTTGTCATAGACATGCAGACTTGGGGAACTAGCTCTTGGCCAAGGACAGGTTTTACTGGAGTCAGAGAATCAAGTTTGCCATTTATGGAGCCCAGGTTCTGGGGATGCAGAAGGCACCTCTTCCCTCCCTTCCCCATTGCTCCACCCAGCTGTGCTCTTGCTCAGGGCACTAGTGGGCATGGGGCAGCCCACAGAGGGTGCTGTGTCTGCATCTAAGGGCACGGTCTCTGCTTTCCATGCCTAAAGAGCAGGTCCTTCTCTAAGAGATGAGCCTTCAAAGCACAGGGCATTGATTCTTGGCAATGAAACTAACGAACGGTCTTCTAACTTTTCAGAGTCTGGACTGTGACTCTCACATGTTGGGTTTTCTCATCATGGGAAGTCCCTACTGTGCTGGGAGAGTGAGCCTTGTTGCTAGGTAGGGCCATTCTGGGAGCGAGCAAGTGCAGCCCCAGCCCGTGCTGTGGGAGGTGGTTTCCAGGGAGGCAGCCCCAGCCCGTGCTGTGGAAAGTGGTTTCCAGGGAGGCCGGTTCCCAATGGGGAGGCAGCATCAAGCATGCTCCTCTCCCTCCAGGTGTCCCCTGTTTCTTACCTGAGGATGTCCATGAGCCCCGTTCTGCACACGCACAAGGAGGCTCTGGCGGCCCTGCCTTTGGGAATGACCATGACCTTCACTGTCCACTTCCATGATAACTCTGGAGACATCTTCCACGCTCACAATTCGGTCCTCAACTTTGCAACTAACAGGTAGGGTGTGGGTGATGCTGATTTCTCCAGCAAAGCCAAAGGGTCAAATGTGCGTGAAGGAACACAACTTTGAGTGAGGGAGGGAGGAATCCAGCATGAACTGAGGCCTGCTGTGTGCCACGCCCTTCCATGTGACAGCTCATTAACTCCTTGCTGTAGACCATTTGTAGAGGTTCAGAGAGGTTAAGCCACTTGCCTAAGGCCACACAGCCAAGAAGTGGGGTTTGAATTGTAGGTTCCACCTGACTCCAAGTGCAACTCTTTTTGACAGACTCTTTGGAATACAGGTGCAGCCTCAGCCCTAATGTGAGGAGAGAGGGGTGGACTTGAGAGTGAGGGAGGGAGCCTGGCTTCAGCCTGGGCCTGCTGACACCTCCGAGTCTTCTAGAGCAGTGATTCTCAAATTGGGATTCCAGAGCAGCAGCAGCAGCATCACCTGGGGACTGTTAGAAATGCACATTCCCAGGGCCCTGCAATCTGTTTTCACAAGCCCTCCAGGTGATTCTGATGTGCATTAAAGGCTGAGAACCCCTGCTTTAAAGGAAGACAGACGAGCATCAGTCCCAGGAGGAAGAAGTGGGGTTTGAGGGAAGATTGTGTCCAAGTATCTGTGACCAATTCCAGCTTGGGCTTCCCATAGGCCCTGCATCAGATGTGTTCCCTTTATTGCTGAACACATCCAAGGCCACAGTCAGACCTGATCCAAGCCCCTCTGTGGACCTGTGAGCTTGGGCAAGGTGGGTCACCCCTCCAACCCTCTGTTTCCACACCTGCCATGTGTCATGTGAGAAACATCGCCTTACCCCCAGGGCCATCAACCGAGATAACGGCTGTGAGGGCCTTTGGCAAACTGGGAAGCTCCTGCACACACTATTGCTCGTCTGTCCATCTGGGATATAGGCGGCCCTGGGGGAAATGGGGCCAGGCTCTCCCAGCCCCTTGGCTGCACACACAAATCACGGTGTCCCTTTTGTGGTAGGAGCACCTGTTTCATAGAAGGAAGTTGGTGAAGCAGGGACCCCAACCCCCCACCTCCCCATCTTGCCAAGCCTTCCACCACAACAACTTTAGCTAATGTTGACTGAGCACTTACTTGGTGCCAGGCACTGGATTAAGCACATTATAGCTACTAACTTCATTTAGTACTCACAGTAAGCCTGGGACACAGGTACTGTTATTATCCCATTTTATAAATGGAGGAGACCCGGGTTCAATGACTGGCCATTGCACCTCATGCACAGCTACCACCCATCTGTCATTGGAGGCTTGCACGTTGCTATGATGCTGAATAGGTTTTAGTGGAGCTTCTGGATTAAGACAGATTAGGAAGAAAGGCCTGGCGATATACCTCTGAAAGTTAGCCAGTGAAAACCATATGGATCACAACAGTCCGATCTGCAACCAATCGTGGGGATAGCATAGGACTGGGCGGTGTTTCGTTTTCATAGTGCATGGGTCAGCATGAGTCAGGGGCTGACTTGACAGCAGCTACGAGCAATAACACAGATAAAGACACGGGCAGTGAGGCTGCATGACTTGTTTGAGTCTCACGGTGAAGGGCAGCCTGTGCTCTCTAACCACTACGCTGTATTGCCTTCCTGGGATGCACTAGTGCCCCAGTGGGGAAGAGAGTGAAAAGCACTTTGTAGATCACTTTCCTCACTGGCCTTGGCTTTCCCTTCTGGAGTATGGGGGCAAGGATGCCAGCAGTTCCCAGCTAAGGACTGTGGGTTCTGTCCTGAGGGTGATAAGTGGTGGCCCCTTATCAGGAGCAGCTGCTTGGAAAAGGTGAGTCGGAGTGACACTTGGAGGCTTAGTCAACTAACAGCTTCACTCAGCAGAGGACCTGGACTGCGTTTCTTCCTCTGGAGCTGGGGCTTCTTCCCTGAGACTGAGCGCCTCATCTTTATTCTGCCTAGAGACGACTTTGTGCAGGTCGGGAAGGGCGCCACCAACAATACCTGTGTCATCCGTACTGTCAGCGTCGGCCTGACGCTGCTCAGTGTGCGGGACACGGAGCACGCGGGCCTTGCCGACTTCATCCCCTTGCCGGTGCTGCAGGCCATCTCCCCAGAGCTGCCTGGAACTGTGTGGGTGGGGGATATCCTCTGCCTAGCCTCTGCACTCATCAGCTTGGAAGGTAAGTCAGATACTGGCAAGAGACACCTTTTTCGTCCTTAGCACTTCCTTCGGTGGGAGTGGGCTCCCTGTGGGGCAGGGGTTGTCATGCCTCATCACAACAAGCAGGAGCTGAATGATGCTCTAGAAGATAAGTTCAAAACCTATCATCCACGGGCCAGATCCAGCCTGTGCCTGGTTTTATAAATAAAGTTTTATTGGCACACAGCCATGCCCAACCCATTTATGTCTTGTCAATAGCTGTTTTCACACTACAATGGTAGAGTTGAGAAGTAGCAACAGAAACCATGTGGCCCCAAAGCCTAAGATACTTACTGTCTGGCCCTTTGTTGAAAATGTTTGCTGACCTCTGCTCTAGAATGAAAAACCAGTTGCCATTGAGTTGATTCCAACTCATGGTGCGCCCGTGTGTCAGAATAGAACTGTGCTCCATATGGTTTTTAATGGCTGATTTTTCAGAAGTAGATTGCCAGGGCTTTCTTCCAAGGTGCCTCTGGGTAGACTTGAACCTCCAACCTTTCAATTAGCAGCTGAGCGCATAACTGTTTGCATCACCCAGGGACTCTACTGTCCATAGAGTTTTCTGCTATTGTGGAAATGTCCTATAGCTACGCTGTAGTAAGGTAGCTACTAGCTGTTGAACACCTAAAATATGGCTAATGCAGCTGAGGAAACTGAATTTTTTTGTTTTATTTAATTTTAATATAGTAGCTAGTGGCTACCATATTGGACCACATATGTCTAGGAGACTTAAGTAAAGAATATTGGCCCAGTTCAGTAGTTTCCAAATTTCAGTCATTTTCATAACCACCTGTGTGGTTTTTCTACATCCGTGTACTGCACATACAATTATTTACTTATCTTTTTTCTAATTGGCTCTCTTTATCTAATTAAATTGGTTTTAAAAGTAAATTAAATACCCCCTTTAAAGAAAAGCAAATATAATTTTCCATAAACAGAATGTGGTGTTGAGTTTTTTAATTGTATTTATTGCACAATATAATTAACTTTTAACTAAGAACTGTTGTCTGGTGACAACTCTGAGCTGGCGCCTACTTTCTGTTTGCTAAAAGGGAATCAGACATCAAGTGGGGAGGTGGGCTGGGGGGAGGCTGGAGGGCGAGCAGCCAGATCCTTGAGGGGCGTCAGGTAAACCTCATGCAGGGAAGGTTGAGAGATGCCCAGCAAGGCAGTGTTGGGTCTGGGAGGAGGGGCTGGGGCTCATTCTCAGCAGGAGCCACAGCCGTGCAGAGAGCAGTGGGCAGTGGGAGCTGCCGATACCACTGTGTGGTCAGAGCAAGGCTGCAGAGGGGACAGCAGCCCACCCTAACGGCAGAGGACCGGGGTCCTAGGCTGGGGTGATAAGTAAGTTCCCTGGGGCAGTGAGTGTGGAGTGTGGTGGGGGCGGGGTGGGGAGGGGCACAAGGAGGCTGGCACGGTCGTCGAGGCGAGGTGGGGTTGGGCTGGAGTATCAGACATGGGAATGTGGGAATGAGTGACATCAGGGTCTTCTCTCCCAGGCCTCTCGGGGACCTGGAGCTCCTCAGCCAACAGCATCCTCCTCATCGACCCCAAGACAGGCGTGGCCGTGGCCCAGGATGTAGGATCTGTGACCGTTTACTACGAGGTGGCCGGGCACCTGAGGACCTACAAGGAGGTGGGCTGGCCCTCTCAGAGCAGAACCTCAGCTTTCAGTACCAAACAAATCCCTTTTGTTTAAGACAAAAGCACCACCTGGCACCTTCTGGGCCCATGCTGGGATTGGGAGTCTGCCACCCACTGACTTTGCCTGGGGTCAGGCTCCCTTTCCTCAGAGGCCTCATCTCCCCATCTGAACGTGGCATGATGACAAAGTGGTCTTGTAGAGTCCAACCCAGTGCCTACTGACCCCTGTATGGCACCTGGAGATGAGAACCTCTGGTGTGGGTATTTTCCAGGAGCCGTGGGTGGGTGGGCCAGCACCAAGATGTGACATCACCAGAAAGTTAAACCTCCTCCAGCAAGTCACCTTTGGAGTCTTTCTGGAGGTGAACAGAACCATTCTGTCTTCTATTTGTCTCCAGCTGGGAATGAATCAATGAGGAAAGTCTGGTCGATTTCCAAATGTATCTCATTTTTAGAGCCAGCATGCGCTTTATCGAACCCAGCAGTTTAACCTAATAGTTTACATATTTAGTGGGCAATTCTGCAGTTTGAGCGAGCCGCTTGCAGATAGAGGTATCTTGTAACTTATAAGCCGTGCCCCTCCCAGGGGCTCTCAGCCCCACAGGAGCTGCTGAGAGTGGTCGAGGAAGAGGCCTGGGACGGGGTCACAGCAGAGGAAACGGCATGAGCAGAGTGGCCAGGTTCAAGAGCAGAGCTGGTGTGACAGGAACAAAGGGCGTTGTGGGGAGCTTTGTGATCAGATCACAAACAGCTTTGCTTCCAAGTAGTTGGGTGTATTGGTTAGGAGTGTGAGTTCTGGAGTTGGGCTCTCTGAGTTCAAATCCAAGCTCCACCACAGAGAAGCTGTGTGTCCTGGGGCAAGTTATTTAACCTCCCTGTACCTCAGTTTTCTTGCCTGTAAAATGGGTATGATATTGTTGGCGGTGATCAAATGAGTCAATATGTGTGAAGCACTCAGAACAGTCCTCAGCACAGAGCAAGTCCTCTCAGGAGGTATTTGCTGCTGCTGCTGGTTTTCCAAGGTCAAGAGGCCAGAGCTCATGCAAGAGCAGTGGGGAGACCTGAGGGAGGTTTTTAAGTAGAATGTTTTGGAACGCTCGCCCTTGACTGGTGTGGGATGAGAGCTCAGCCCCTGGTATACCTGCAGGGTGACAGTCAGTAGACAGGATGGGCCCTCAGCAAGTACCGTGGGATGGGGTGGAGACAAGGGCCCAGGAGGGAGGGTCCTCAGAGCTCAGTGGCCATTTGGGAAGTGGTGGATGAGGGAGAAGGAGGGTTTGGGGTGACCCCCAACATCTGACTTGGAGGATGAGGTTGATGGTGGTTCTTTGTGCTGAGAGGGGGCACAGAGTGGGGGCTGGTAGGGGGAGATGAGTGTATCTAGTGGGGTGAGCGTAGGTGGTGGTAGTCCTTCCAGGCGCAGCTGGTCAGGGCACCAATAGACTGTGCACCTGGACCCCCAGTGAGGAAGGCTGGTGGGCGGGGATACCACACTGGGCAGATACAGAGCAGGAGGGAGGCAAGACCGAGGCCTACAGGACCTGTCTCCAAGGTGTGGAGGAGCTAGAGGAGCCAAGGGAAGAGAAGCGAAGAGACAAGAGGTGTTCATGCAGGGTAGCGGCAGGCAACCTTCCGTCTGCCCTTCAGAGATGGCGGTGACCATGGAGAGGAGGAGGAGGAGGTTGCTGGGGTGTCTGGGGGTGGATCGAAGCCTCCACACAGGAATGTCCTGTCTCAGAGTGCTGACCAGCTCTGTGTCAGGCAGTGCCCTGGGAGCTGCGGGGGTTCCGGGGAGGAGTAAGGCCCCGTCCCTGCTCTCCAGGAGTGCATGTTGTGGGAGAAATCAGACCCAGACATGTGAGACCTGTGTAGGAAACAGGAAGTGCCCAGGGACTGCTCAGAGAGGAGTGGACGGCCTCCAGCTGGAGGTGGAGGCATTGAGCTGGTCCTAGGGGATGGGCAGGCAGGTTGGGCTCTGCAGAGGAGGTAGGAGGGTATCACAGGCCCAGGGAGCCTCAGGGAGGCGTGCACAGCGGTGTTTGGTGGACTGGTTGCAGGGTGGGCCAAAGGGAACAGGGGAGCACCCAGGCAGGCGGGATTCAGGAGGGCTTCTACCGAGGCGGTGTGCATTTGCATTTTGGCCAGGTTGATTTAGTTTGAATAAATGACAAAGTAAAATCGTCCTTCTCCCTTTGCCAAAAGAGTAGTGAGTCCAATTCATGAACAGAAGCGAGAGCATAGCTGTTACAGGAGCCAAACCCACCCCAGGCTGATCAATGACCCCCACCTGCTGCTCAGCTCCTGGTCTGCTGATGGCAGAGCGCTGGACTGTGAGGTCTGACCAGCCAGGCTTGCAATCCCAGCTCTGCCACCTTCCAGCAGGTCATTTGCTCTCAAGCCTCATTTTTGTCACCTGTGAAATGGGTCATCATGGCTGTAAAATGTGGTCATGAAAACGCCCAGCCTGGCGCACACAGTGGAGCTCAGGGACGTTATCCTGGTTCTCTCCCCAGATCACGATCGGTGTCCCTCCGAGGATCGTGGCCCGTCACGTCCGCGCTGTCCAGACTGGCTCCCAGGAGGTCACAGCCTCCAGAGTGACCATCGCCTTGGGAGACAGAAGCTCTAACCTGATAGGTGTGGAACTGGGGGGCTCAGGTGCTGGGGGAGGGAGCGGGGAATGGCTTCTCATGCCCCACTCAAGGGCTTTTGTACACTTTCCTTCCTCAAACTCAACCCAGCTCCAGAGCGAGCATTCCACCCCAGCTCCCCTCCCCCACAGCATTTTAGAAATAGACTCCCGACAGCAGAAGCGGTGGAGGGATCTTCATCAGAGAGCCTGGCACCCAGAAACTGCAGCTTCTGAGCTGGACATACTGTTTAAGCCCTCAGGCGCCAGAGCAAAAAGAGCTGCAGTTTGACACCATTAATCCCAGAAACTAAGGACTTAGCAGGGCCTGTCGCTGATTTTGATTTTTATAATGACTTTTCCCAAGTCACGCATGGGACAGACAACCCAGCCCCCTGCCCATGATAGCCCTGGACAACAGCAGCCAGGAATAAATACATCAATATGGACTGACTTTAAAAAAAAAAAAAACCACTTAACTGTTAAAATTAATTACCGCTGTTCTCGTTCTGATTAATGAGGCAGCCTTATTACATACAGCATGGAAACCTCTTTTTCCTACCACAGTACAAGTGCACAGTGTTGCTAAATGATACTCAGTGTATTCTCCTGGAGAACTGTTGCCCTCCTGACATCAAGAAATAAATCGCCCATGTTCCCCTGCTGACAGGCACCAGGCCATGTGTTAGCGGTCCAGCCTGTCTGCTGAATGCAAGCCCTAGGACACATGCAGGAATGATCTGAGGTGGTCCGTGATTGCAATGATCCCCTCCCCTGTACAGTTCATCCTCGCATTTTATAAACTGTGGTCCTTGTGTGGAGGGGGTGGTGGGCTCAGGTGGCGTGCATGACCAGCCAGCCCTTGTGTGTCCTGCTCTGTCCCCTTGTGTGGAGCCACAGAGGCAGGTGCGGAGGCTTGAGGTGGTCCGCGCCCCTCTCACCCTCTGCCCATCTCCAGGCGAGTGCACTCCTGCCCAGATGGATGTCATCAAGAGTTTGCACCCTGAGTCCCTCATCAGCTGCCAGCTCCAGTTCAAGTGGGATGTCTTTGACTTCCCGGCACGGGACATCTTCACTGCAGAACCCAGGTTTGACGCAGCTCAGGGTAAGTTTGCGAGTTGAAAGCGAAAACTGCCTGCACAGGGGCTTTGCCTCCTTGGAAATCACAAGTCTTCATGTGTTTGGCTCCCAGTGACTGTGTCTGGATGGGCAGGGCCTGTCAGGAGCCCGGCCTACAGAGTGATGTCGGCAGCCCTTGCTTCCTGGCTCCATGTGGCTGCCCGGAGGGGCTGGGAGCCCTGTGCCCGGCTGTGGCAATTCTCAATAGCCAGCTGTGTTGTTAGTTGCCATCGAGCCAATTCCAACTCATGGTAACCCCATGTGTGTAGTGAAGAGCTGCTCCATAGTTTTCGAGACTGTGACCTTTAGGAAGCAGATTGCCAGGCTTATCTTCTGAGGTGTCTCTGGGTGGGTTTGAACTGCCAACCTTTCGACTAATAGCTGAGTCCTAAACTGTTTGTGCCACCCAGGGACCAGTAGCCAGCTATCCCCAGCAGAAGGTGCAAGGGCTTTAGAGTGGGAAAGCCTGGGTTCACGTTCTCTTCTGCTGTTTCCTGGCGCAGAGCCTGTGGGCGCTAGAGCTCTTGGCTCCCCGGTCTGTGCCAATGGGATGAGGGTGCCTTGCTCTGCATTCAGGTCAGGGCTCTGGAGAGGAACAAGTGGAGCCTGGGTGGAAGTGTCCTTATTAAATAGTCAAGGCTGTGCCCGCAAGCTAGAGCACAACAAGAGTGGTGGAGCTTATGGCCACCAGTGTGGGCTTAGGTGACTGCCTGGCCCTCCACTTACCAGCTGAGTGACACTGAGCATCACCCCATTACACCAAGAGGACTGCCCCTCGTAGGGTGCTGCAAGGATTCATCAAGATAATCCCTGCAAGACGCTTGGCATAGTACCCGGCACATAGTGAGTGCTTGAGGGTAGCTGCCAGCCTCATTACGAGTTATCCTGGGGCAGTTTTTAAGTTCTTCCAGAGACCCCTGCTCTAACAACATTCTGCCTCGTCTTAGCTGGGAGAGTTGGCAACCAGAGGTTACCTGTCGTAAGCCTCGTCTGTAGATGCAGGCTCAAGTGGAGTGCCCCCGCCCCCCCCCCCCCCGCCACCCTCCACCTGGATTGCTCCACATCTCTGTCCCTCCAGCAGCAGCACCAAAGTGTCTTCAACACCCTCCACTGTGTGAGATCAGGAGTTGTGTCCTGCAGGTACACTGTGTCCTGGGCCCAGGCCTGGGGGCATTGACTTGCCCACCCAGTGGCCAGCACAGAGTAGATGCTCAGTTGGTGGTCCCATCACTAGCTTTAATGCCAATGTTGGCCTTGAGGGATGTGATGTCAGCCTGCCTGTCTGTTTCCTCAGGTGGCCACAGCAAAACACCACAAGGCGGGTGGCTTTAAGGAAGAGGCATTTATTGTCTCACGGTTCTGGAGGCTAGGAGTCCAGTTCAGGGAGTCAGCAGAGACGTGCCCTCTCTGTCAGCTCAAGGGAAAGGTTCTTCCTTTTCTCCTTTAGGTTCTTAGCTCTGGGCGTGCTTGGTGGTCCTTGGCTTATAGGCTGACCCTCACATGCTGTCTTTCCTGTGTGTGACTTTTTTTCATGTCTGTCCTTCTCTTTTATAAAACACCACTCAGGAAGGATTAGGATTAGGACCCACCCTACTCTGGTGTGACCACATTTAACATGACTGATAACATCTGCAAAGAAAAACACTATTTCCTCAAACGAGGTCACGTCACTGGTGCGGGGGATAGGGCTACAACATATCTTTTTGGGGGGATACCACTCAATGCATAACCCCACTTTACCAAGAGAAATTGCGGGCTAGCTGCTGAGGAAGCTGACTCACCTGGGGTCGTTTGGCTGGTCTGGGCAGAGAAGGGACCCTAACCCAGGCAGTGCTCATTCTATTCATGCTTGTCTACTCTGCGTCAGGCCTGGGGAATTGAGCAGACCCAGGTCTTCACAGAATGCCCTGCTGCATCTGGTGCTGTAGGCTTCCTGAGGGTCAGGCCCCACATTGGGTTGTGGTGTCTGGTCAACAGTTATTCACTGCTGCTCTGGGCCAGGCCAGCTGGGCCCTGAGATGCAGAGCTGACAGATGTGGTTCCTGCCCCAGGAGATACAGTGAACAGATGATTCTGAGACAGTGAAGGGGGTGACAGTGGCCACAGAGAGGGGTGTCCAAGCTGGGCCAGGGCACTAGAGAGGGATTCACAGGAAGCCTCCTGGAGGTGGCGATGCTGCACTGGGGCTGGGGTTGGGGGTGAGTACGAGTTCCCCAGTTAGAGGAGCAGGGGAGGAGAGGGGCAAGGCACGATGGACACCCTTGTCTCTGCAGGCCAGTACTTCTGTGCCATCATGATGCACAGGCTGACGGACAAGCAGCAGAAGCACCTCAGTATGAAGAAGACACCTCTGGTGGTCACAGCCTTCCTGTCCGGCGGCTCCTCTGGAGAGCAGGTGGGGGCCGAGGTGCCCTTCAGCCCAGGGCTGTATGCTGACCAGGCAGAAATCCTGTTGAGCAACCACTATACCAACTCCGAGGTCAAGGTCTTTGGTGCCATGGAGATCCTGGAGAACCTGGAGGTGTGTGGGCCCGTGTGTCTCAGGTCAGGTGGGACTTGAGGCCTCCAGAAGGGCTCGGGGGGACCTGGAAGCCTTGGACCACCTCATCACATCAGCATGTAGGACACGGAGCAGTGAAGAAAGCCCTAATCCCAAACCCACTGCCAACTTGCTGTGCCACTGGGGCAGGCCCCTCTCTCCAAACTCACTGTCCCCACCTGCTAAGTTTGGGTTGGAGAGGGATCTCAAGGTCTTGGAGTCTGGCAGTGGGGAGAGGGTTGGAGAGGGATCCCAAGGTCCTGGAGTCTGGCAGTGGGGAGAGGATCTGACGTGATCTGGCGAAGGAGTTCGTCGGCTTCTCTGTCCACTCCTAGTCTTGTGTTGTTGCAGCGAACTGAGCTGAATATTCTCCACGAGAGACAGTGATGAACGTTCATTGTTGATGGTGGAGGATCTGCCAGGCTTGGGTGCGGGGCTGCTGGAGATGAGTCCATTAGCCGAGCTGCAGCCTGCTCCTGGATATGTGATGTTTAGTGCTATTTTGTGTTGGTTTAGCATTTTTTTAAAAGCACTTTATTAGAATTCAATGTTATCAATCTGTTCTTTCCTTAAAATCACCCTGGGTGTAGACAGTGCTTTCTGCCTTTGTAAATGGCATGCTGTCAATTAGACATACCCAAGAAATGTCATCACACTCCTAGGAAGTGGGGCCTGGGTGTGGCCCCTGACCCACAGGGCCCTGGGAGGGAAGCACGGCATAGCTGGTGGAGCGGGGGTGTCTCCAGACTTGGCTGAACGGGTTGCATCCCCGGGGGTCTGCGGCCGCGCTCAGTGCCGACCAGCTGCCCCCTAGCACTGACCATCCTCCCAGGTGAAATCCGGCTCCCCTGCTGTACTGGCCTTCGTGAAGGAGAAGTCTTTCGGACTGCCCAGCTTTGTCACGTACACGGTCAGCATCTCCGACCCCGCGGCCGGCAGCCAGGGGCCCCTGTCCACTGCCCTGACCTTCTCCAGCCCCGTGACCAACCAAGCCCTTACCCTTCCGGTCACCGTGGCGTTTGTGATGGATCACCGTGGACCCGGTCCTCGTAAGTCACGCACGGCTGTGGGGTGAGAGTGGGGAGGTCAGCAAGGCAGGGTGTCCCCTCAAGGGGAAAACTGTCACTCTCTCCTTTGCTCCCCGTTCTTCCCCCAGTCTATTCTCAACATGGCAGCCAGGGGGAGCCTGTTAACATGTGACCAGGGCACATCCTCCCCGGCTCAGCCTCCTCCGGGGCTCCCACTGCACTCGTGGCGGGGGAGCCCAAGTCCTTTATGGCCCACAGGCCCCGCCATCAGCCTTCCTGACCCATCTATGACCTCGTCCCCCCTGCACACTCCTCCAGCCACACTGGCCTTCCTGTTTCTGGAACACATACAGCCCCAACTTGAGACCTTGGCGTGCTGTTCCCTCTGCCTGGAACACTGTTCCCCTACACAGCCCCTCAGCCAACTCCCTCACCTCCTTCAGACCTTCCCTCAAATGTTACCTCCTCAGGTAATATTTAAAATCACCACCTTACTCCCAAATACTCTCGCCGCCCCCCCCCTTCTCCCCATAGCACTGTTGCCATCTATCAGCCTATATAGTTTTGTTAATTATTCAGTTTTTGCTGGTCTTCCCCAGGTAGAAGTTAAGTATGTGAGGCAGAGCTTAGAGTATGTCCTCCCTAGTATAGCATAAGCACTCAGTAAACATGTTGAAATGTGGAATGCGTGAATCTACTTCTTCAGTTGTCATTTGTTGTGTGCTAGACCCTGTGCTGGGCAGATGAGCGAGAAGATACAGAATTACAATACAGTAAGACAGGAAGGATTCTAAAATTGTGGCGGAGGAGAGAGGGGGCACCAAGGCTGGAGGTTAATTTACCTCTTGTGATGAAAGGCAGGTCAGGGAGCTCCTTCAGCCGGGTCTTGAAGGATAGCAGTGAGGAGGGGGATGCAGGGAGAGAGGCCCTGTGGTCCATATGCAGGGCTGGCTCATGAGGAGCCGTGAATGCAGGTGGGGCTCGGTTGTCCCTAGACCAGGGTAGTGACTGGCTAGTCTGGCTGCCCAGCTGGGAGTGGACTAAAGAGGGGCCAACATTAGGGGCGCTTGAGGAGGCCACCACCTTCTTCCTGCCGAGTGGGGCTATGTCCTCACTTAGGACAGCTCCAGTGGTGTGGAAGGAGGGGCAGATTCAGGGGGCTTTGTAGGCAAATGCAGCAGGATTCAGTCACTGATAGGATGTGAGGCTCGGGTGACGAGGAGGGAAATCTAGGATGAAGCGGGTTCCGGGCCGTCCCCAAGTGGGGACCCTGGAGGAGGAGCAGCTTTGGGATAGAAGATGTCATCTTAGTCTCCTAGAGCCACCATAGCAAAATACCACAGAGTGGTGGCTTTAAACAGCAGGAAATTTATTGTCTCACAGTTCTGGAGGTCAGAAGTCCAAATTCAGTGCATCAGCAGGGTATTCTCCCCACCCCCCACGGCCTGGGTTCAGAGACAGGCGTCCCTGTCCCACCTGGCCAGCGCCTGTGTCCTCTGGCCTCCAACTTCACGGCTCCCTCTCATGACTTGGCCTTTTCACAAAGTCCTTGCCTTCTGGGCAGTGTGGCCGACGCCCAGGCACCCTTATGCCAACTCTCCCAGACAGGCAGAGTCTACACTCTCATGGGTGCAGAAACTCAGCCTGCCTGTGGAGAATCGAGGCGCTCCAAAAGGAAGAGCATTTCCTCAAAGGAAACAGGTTCTCAGGCAGAACAGCGTCTGGGCCCAGTGGCCGGAGGTGGAAAAGGACGAAGCGCTGGGTGGCAACCCTCAAGAGTGGATGCTGGCCCGGGGCTTAAGCAGGCCACCTCACTGTTCTGAGCTCAGGGTCCTGCTGTCAAGACAGGCCCAGAGCCCCATCCCCAGGGCTGCGTGGCCAGGGCTGTGACCAAGTGGTTTGGGTAACCCTTCTTTCCTTTGAACTGCAGATGGGGCCACCCTCTTCCAGCATTTCCTGGACTCCTACCAGGTCATGTTCTTCACGCTCTTTGCCCTGCTGGCTGGGACCGCTGTCATGATCATAGGTGAGGCAGGTGGTGCTGCACGTTTCTTGGTAGGCTTCCCCTCCCCCGACCCCGCTCTAACCAGCCGGTGGTTTTGCAGCCTACCACACAGTCTTCACCCCCCGAGAGCTCGCCGCCGTGCCAGCCTTCTCACCCACAGCCAGCCCGCGGCACAGCCCCAACTGTGAGTAGCTGCCCTGAACCCTGAGTCTCAGCAGGACTGTCCCTGGGCAAAAGCAGCGGCTGGGATCTGGGGCCCGGGGGCGGGTCTGGGCACTAGCAACAGGGAATGGCAAGGGCCCCAGCTCACAGTCCTGGTGAGGAGGAGTTTCTCCCCAGGCATCGCTGAGCTGTGTGTGCTGGAGGGCTAGAGGAAGCTCTTTGCAGGTGTGCAAGTGGGCCTGCCGGCCACGTGCTGGGGCTGCTGAAGCCGGGATCTGAGTTCCCCGGGTGGACTGGCTGACTTGGGTGGTGGTTCTGGGCAGTCCTGATGCAGGAGTCCCTGAGGGAGAAGACCAGCAGAGCCCTTTCCTCTCAACCGTGCCATCATCCTCTGGTGGCCCCGGAGGTTTGACGACCTTATACAACTCCTGGGTGCGCCTGTCTCTGTGAGTGGCGGTCCGTGAAACGGCAGTGCGCAGCCCATGCGGCTGTACCCGGCGGCCCTTTATGTCTCCTGGTTGCCATTCGTGGGCTCTCTCCCCAGTACAGGAATTGTTGAGCTGCTATCTACTGACCCTACAGGGCCAGGGCTAGGCTTCACAGAGTCAGTGAAGTTTTTGCATAAAGATGCGTTTTCCTGGGTAACAAGATTCCCACATGCATCCTGGATGCCTAGAAGCACCGCCTTCTACCAGGCTGCCTCTCACGCCTATGAAGCAGCACTTAGGGAGAGCCGTGGAATATTGAGCAGCCATTTCCTCGCCACTCCAGTGGTTTATCCAGCTCTTCTTGCAGTGGCCTCTCACTCGTATCGCTACATCTCCCAGTACTGCCACGTCTGTGTCGGGCCACAGTGGAGTCCTGGTGTTGCCTCCCAAACACTCCAGGCCCTTCCACACACCTAAGGCTTTGTGCATGCTGTCTTCTCTGCCAAAGATGCTGTTCTCTGATATATGAACTGCCCTCTGCGCCAGCATGGCCACCCTCCTCCGAGAACAGAGAGCCCGTCCTCCCCTGTGGGCCCCCTAGACAGATGCTGCCTCAAGGGCCTGCATTCTCTCCTGTTGTCACTGCCTACTGTGCGCACTGCTTGGTTCAGTCCACAGCCACCCCGCCCATGTCAGGGCCAGCTCAGTGAGGTCCTATGGTCCCCTCCTGGCCCAGCATTGCCCTGGGGAATGAATCTTAAGTGTTAGCAGCACTCTGCAGCCGTGGGTAGCACAGGCACCGATGAACATTTGAGGAGTGAGGTGATCTCGCTCCGGCTCTGTGGCTCACTTCATCTCTCTTTCTGCTCTAGATTTTGCTGCCTCATCACCACCGTCTTTCAACGCACTGCCTCCTGGTCGCAAAGCCAGCCCTTCCTCAGGCCTCTGGAGCCCAGTATATGCCTCCCATTAGGCAGCTAACAGAGCTGGGTGACAGGAGGCTACAGATATGATGCCGGTGCAGTCCCTGCCGCATCCACCCTGAGCCAGCCCCTTGCACCCGGGCACCCCTATACCTGAGCCCCCTGCACCCCATCTCCCCACGCCCAAGCCCCCATGCCTGGGCCCTCCACACCCAGGCCTCCTGCACCTGGGCCCCCATCCCACTGCCCACTCTGCCACCATCTCTGTTTTGATGGCGCTACAACTTAGGTTGTGCTTGTTAGCTGCTGCTTATATGGAGGGCTTTGGGTTTGGTTTTCTTGCCCTCGGGGCTTGGCAAAGCTCAGCCTTCAGCTCATTCCTGTACGCCTGGTTGTCTAGAGTTTCTGGACAGCATGCCACTGTGTCTTCATCTCCCCCGGAGCTGCTAAAACTACTCCCTCCTCAAGGCTGGAGCAGTTAGAAGCTCTGTTTAGAAGTCATCTGCAGATGATGGGACTGTAGCGCTCTCAGGGAAAGGATTTGTCATTACGTTTTTATTTCTGTGAGGCTTTTCCTTGTAAAAACTTACTTTCCCCCTTATCTGACTGTTGCTAGGAAGTTAGGAGTGTGAGTGGGCATGATGCCCTGTGCTCTGGGGGCTCTGTCCTTTCCAGCCTCAGGCATTCAGAGTGCAGGGAACCACCTTGGCTTAGCCTGAGAGTGAAATCCACGTAAGAGTAGAGCCAGGCTGTTCTCTCTCTTGGGCCACTGTGACCAGTCCTCTGGTTCCTTTGCTTTGTAAGCTGGTGGGACGTCCTGTGGACCTCGCCCTTGGGAGGCGGGAGTGGGGAACTTGGCTCTCCCTGCCCAGCCTCTCCCTTGGCACGAGCGTCCAGTCATCATTAGGACAACAGAGCCAGAGACAGGTCTTCTTTTCTGTTGGTTTGTTTTAAGGAGCCGTTGTATTCTGCCTAAGCACAAAGACAGTGTTATTTGTTCCTTTTTTAAACCGCACAGCGTTTGAGTACCTCAGCAGACCTGAGCCCCTGCCCTGCCTGTGAGAGGTGGCCCTGCACAGTCAGTCCTCCGGCCTAGACCCGCCAGGCAGCTCCCACAGGCACCCGCGAAGCCCGTGGCCAGGGAGGAGGGCCGGAGCCCAGATGTCAGGGCTGCCCTCCAGGACGGGCCTCACCGAGCAGCTAGGCTCCACGGGGCTGAGAGCCTGCCCCTTGAGCTCCTCGGTCAGGGCTCCCAGACTTCTGCGCCACCCTGCTCCTGGCAGGGAGACGCCGCTGAAGGGGAACCTGGACACTCAGCCCAGAGCCAGTCAGGCGGGGACGCTGCATTTGAAGAGTCCAGTTTGACTCTAAAGATAAAGTGTGAATCAGCCTCAGTCCTTTGGGACGGGGCTACAGGATTTATTTTCCTACCGTTGGAGAAAGGAAGCATTGTGCCTTGCGTATGACCTGAGCCCACACTGACAACTTGGATGTCAATACGAGCGTTTTCTACCTGGTTATTTAATAAAGTGCTGTATGATTTCTTAAGAGGAGTGTGGTCATTGATGCGTCCTACCTGGAAGCTCCCCCAGCCCTGGGGGCTCTGCCTCTCCCTCACCACCCCTCTTTTCTCTCTCACTTGCCACCAAAGCCTGGCTTCCCACCTTGAGAGACCAGCATGGTGCCAGGGGCAGGCAGCCTTAATGTCTTCCCACTACTGCCCTCCCCTGCTGAAGGACAGGTAGTCTTGTCCTCACATCCCCAGGCATCACGTAAGTCCGTCCTTGGGCCCCTCTTCTTCTGCCAGGTCCTTTGTTTCTGCGTCATATAAACATGTCGGCACTCTTCCCCCAAAAGAAAGTCTCCCTCCCCGCCAAGCTCCTTCCCACCTCAGCTTGCTGTCTCTGATCCCATCCCACCCTTCTCTGAGTGTATCTCTCATGCTCACCAACGGCCTCCACTCTCCCTGCCAGCTGACCACTCCTCATCTGCGTCATCCCCTGCTGTTTGCTCTCCAGCCCCTCATCTCGGGTTTTGTCCTCCGCCCATTATCCCTGACTCCCCTGCTCTCAGGCTGCCCACTAGAACCCCCAATGCTTGAGCATTCCCAGTTTACATTTACTAGTAAACGTCAGCATTGCCTTCAGGCAAGCCCCCTCAGGGGTATAGGGTGGCTGCCAGGATCCAGGCATCACATCACATCCAGACATGGCAGTGTCCAGAAGAAGAGAGTGGAGAGACCAGCTCTTCCTGTCTCCCAAGGACCAAAGACACCTTCCTGGAAGGCTCATCAGCAGACGGCTCCCACTGTAGCTATGGCTGGGACTGGCTCTCCTGGCCAGGGCAGTAGGGTGACCATGCCTGTGGTCAGTAATCCTTCAGGGCTGGCTGGATGTCAGGAAGCCAACCCCATCAACTTCCAGATCGAAAAGGAAAGGAGTCAGCACTGCCTGACTGGGTTCTCTGAGGGTGCTGGTATCTCCCCTTCACCCACCTTGGATACGCTGGGGCTTGACGGAGCAGGAGAGCTACCAGGCACACAGGCCGAGGCAAAACCTTACTCTCCCCGGGTTGACCATCACGTTAAAACTCACGCGCATGCTGCTGGAAGCAAGCAGACCTTGCCAGCAAGTGAGCGCGCCCAGTGAGGTGTGTTTACAAAACTGGGTGACACAGCATGACCAGCTTTCTGTTCCTAAACTAACCAAGTGACTCGCTCTCTAAAAGGTGCTAAAAAAATGCTTTTAGCACCATTTAGGGCTAAAAATATAGTATTACATACAGATTTTTTTTTCTCCGGAATTCCAAAGTTTATCCAAAAACTGTAACTCTCACTCTGGTGCCGCTTCAGGCATTCTGGAAATGTTGCATCTCCAGGCTAGGAGAGAGCCCAGAAACTTGGGCATCTGGGGTAAGACACATGGGGCTCAGAGACAGGTGAGCAGCAGTGGAAGCCACCATGTTCTGGGGCAGAGGGTCGTCATTTGACCTTTCTGGGCCTCAGTTCCCTCGTCTACAAAATGGCATTTCCAGCATCTGTCCTGCCACTACCCAGAGCAGCTCCCAGTGGGAAGCAGTGTGTTATGGATTGAATTGTGCTCCCTACCCAAAATAACATGTTGAAATCCTAACGCTTGTACTTGTAAATATGACCCTGTTTGGAAACTGGGTTTTTTCTAGTGTTATGTTAATGAAGTTAGGCCAGTGTAGGGTGGATCCTAAACCTAATCGCTTCTGAGTTATAAAAAGAGCAGAATAGACGCAAAGACACGGGGGAAACAGATGCCAAGGAACGCCAAGGATCGCCAGCGGTCCCCAGAAACTAGGAGGGAGGCCCACAGAAGGAACTGACACGGCTGAGATCTTGATTTGGACTTTTAGCCTCCAGAACTGTGAGATAATAAATTTCTGTTCTTTGAAGCTCCCCTCTTGTATTTCTGTTACAGCGCCATTAACGCACTAAGGCAGTGACAGACTGCCTTATCATTCCAACTCCTCACCCCTCCCCACAGCCCTCCCGCTAGAGGCAGGGTGCGCTTCCTGCCCGAATGAGGTTAAGCTGGGTCCTGAGACTTGTTGGGACCAGCGGAAGTGGATGCCAGTGACAGGATCCATTCCGAGCGGGGGCTTCAGAGGCCTCAGGAACTTCCTTCCACTCACCCTTCTTGTGCCTCTGCCACTGATGTGACAATAAGGAAGTCAGGCAGCTGCTAGCCCAAGGGAGGAAAGACAGCCAAGAGGGCCTGAAAGAAATCTGCCCGTCCTAACAAGAAGCCCCCCGAGCGTGAGAGTGAAGGGCGGGCTGCTTGTTAGGCAGTGGTACTGCAGCCCTTGGTGACTGATACAAAGCATGACGAAGATTCCCTTTCAGCTGAATCCCACTGAAGGCAGGCTTTCTGTCACTTGTCACAGAGTAGATTGACATTGCTGGACCCTGAGGTGGCCCTCCCTGCAGCCCCATCCCGGGCACGGGGCCCAAGCCTGCTCTCTCCTGGGCCTTGTTTGGCTGCCCCTCATCCCCTCCTGTGGTGGCAGGGTGTCCCAGGTGTCCTTGGTCCCTACAGTGGCAGAGGCCGAAGGGGGCCAGGTGCCCAGAGCCGGGGCCAGGCCCCCAGGGAGGAGGCTCCAAGGACCGGGGGCAGCGTCATAAGGGCACAGGCTGTGTGATGCAGAGCCTTCCCTCCCCGAACTCGTTTTCCCCTCCGTGAAACAGGGACGCAGTCAGCCTGCCCGCCAGAGGCTGCTGCAAGGGCTCATGGAATGTGGCTCCGAAGGACTCTTTGCTCATCGATGTGGGTCCTGTATCCAAACGAATGCGTCCCACCACAGCCTTGCCCACCTCCACGTCCCTCGTGGAGGGGGCCACACAGGGAGGGGCATTCTTGGCGCAGCTTGCGGATGAGCTCAAGACAGGCCCGTGGACGCAGGTAGGTGGGTTTTCTCTCAGGGAGGGGCTCTAGTTTTCTGGAACACTCTGGGAGAGGAGTAGGTGCCAAAGGAGGTGATGGAGGCTGAAACTCTGGGTTCGTGCCCACCCCAAATGCCCACAGGGCAGGGAAGCTGGCTCAGCCTCAGAGCTGCTGCCCTCTTCTGCAGCCAGCCATGGCTCCCTGTGGCCCGTGTGGACTGTCAGAAGAGACCTAGGGAGTGGGGTGGGTGGGGTGAACGAGAAAGCAGCTGGCGTTTACTGCACTCCCCCTGGCAGGCACATAGTGAGCACTTTACAATCACTATTTCATTTCTATTTATAGCTGGGGAAACTGAGGCACACAAAGCTAAGCCACCTGCCTGGATCACACAGCTGGCAAGCGGCAGAATCGACTCAATCTGGCAGACTGACTTCAAGTTTGCTTGACACCCATTCTTGACTGCCTGCCTGGTGCAGATGAGGGAGCCGAGGGAAGACTGGGCAGGCAGGGACCCCACTTCTCTCCAAGCAGCTGAGCTTCAATCTGGTTCATGGATTATTTTATTTTTTTAAAGAATTTAATATAGAAAAGTAGAAAGAATAATATAACAAACCCCTTATGCCTACCACTCAGTACGGGTG